GAAAAAGGAAGAGAACATGTGTATTTTTAAAAATATTTGCATTCATATTTTTCACTCCTGGAACCCATAACAATATAATTAAAAATACTTACCTGACTAAGTGTCAGGCACTCTCTCTAGCTTATTATGTATATTATCTAGGTACCGACAGTACTTTGTAAATAGATACTTTCTCCTCACTTTGCATATAAATAAACTGAGGATTATAGAGCATAAGAGTCTTTCCAGAGCTCTCATGATTGTTAAACTAGCGAAGCCTGGCTGGGATTCCCTCTCAGGAAGTCTGACATCACAGCATGTATTCTGAGCTACCCAGTATAGAAGACTCTTCAGAATCACAAAATGGAAATGATTTCTATTAATAAAGTTGTACAATGTAGTTACATACATTACTCATCGAAATATCCATTTTGTTCATTTTTAAATAGCATGTTTTAAAGGAGAGGTTATTTTCATTTTGTTATATTATTATAAAATCCCCTTGTCTTCCTTGCATTTTGAGTGATTTATTTCCCATGATTTTGTAAAATCATTTAAGGTCTGGGAAAGGGAACAGAAAATTTTCAGGATTAGCCTAAAAGAAACTATTATCTGCTATGGCCAGAGACCAAGATTCAAGAAGTTTAAAGAAGACTAAGAAGTTTAAAACTGCAGGTGGATCAATTACAAAAATTGTACATTCTAACCTGGCAAGATATTCTATGGTAATATAAGGGCGCGGACTGGGAAGAAGTGGGACCCTGAGAACCACAATGAAGACAAGCCAGCCGACTCCAGTGAGGCAGGGAGCAGGGCCAGCTTCCTGGGCCCGGGACTGGTGCAGTCCCACAGGCCCTGCTCTCACAAAGAGTCTCATGGTTGGTTCAATGCTCCCTATTGCTGCCTTGAAATTCTTAATAATTTCATCTTTGAACTTATGTTTTATAAGTGAATTTGATAAGAGGTCCGAGCATGTGCATGGGCCTGGGAGATGCACAGGGCAGCAGGACACACAGGACAGGAACACACGTAGACTCAGGTTCATGGGCTCGGTGGGCAGCCTGTGAGCTGACAGTTGGTCATCCATTCCAAGGGCACAGGCATAACCGGGCTGTCTGGTGCTCTCCAGATAGTCAACGGGGATGGCAGTAAAGTTTGTCAGCAAATTATTACAAAATAAAATTGTAAACTTGAACTTTGCAATGAGGCATACTGGGGAGTTAGAATACTTCAAAAAGTTTAGGAACTCTGGTTTTGATAATCGATCTAATATTACAAAGTGAGTATCTGCAGGTTTAGAAATAGAAATAAAGTGTAAAGATAGTATCTTGATGCTCATTGCACCCAGGACTTCTGCACAGCCAAAGAAACTATCACTAGAGTCAATAGACAACCTACAGAATGGGAGAAAATATTTGTATTCTGCACATCCAATAAAGGTCTGAATCTATTTAAGATCTTGCATTTACTAGGAGCACCTGACATCATCACTTTCAATTATGGTGCTTGACAATTAAGTTGCTAGAAGTATAAATTTTGTTAATCTAATAAATTAATTTGCAGAAAAGTGAGGAATAAAAATCCTATGATTAATGATATAACATTAGTAAAGTATTATTATTATTGTACTACATAAAATTATGACACCAGTTTTTTAGCAACTTGTAAGTTTATATTCTTATGTATAATTATAAACCTTATTGTATTTTACAAGCAATACATATTTTTTTAAAGAAGCCTGTATATTTTATTACCTAATGGCACTTTTCCCTGCTTTCGAACAAGGAATCACAAATTTGTATTTTGTACTTGGCCCCAGAAATTATATAATCTTGAACCTCCAAACTAAACTTGGAGGAAGGGAACTTGTAGCCAGAAAGCAATCAAGATGTTTGAGAATGTGCCTTTTGCTTTACGTATTAGTAAAATCACCCACTTCTTTCAGGTTCTCCAATTTGCTGAGGTGTGTGTGTGTGTTGTGTTTCCTTCAAGAAAGATATGATACGTCATACATATAAGGAATAGATCTCCAGATAGGAGCGTCCTGCTTGCCCATGGCTCAGCCATGGAGTCCACCCACATATCACTACCTGTAATGGTCTTTACATTTAGTGAGTAAAGTCCCATTTTATTCCATTTTACTATGGATTTAGGCTCCCCTTGATGCCTAATCCATCACTCATCGTATAGGAGGAATGAAAACCCGGATAGGAACTCATCCTGAGGATTCTGTCTGTGCTTTTGAAGAGGTCCAAGCACTGGTTAACGGTAACCTCAGAACCACTAAATTGTTGCAGGTGGGTGTGAAAATGTTCTTGGAGTTCCACGAGGTAGGTTAAGTGCTCCGCATTCTCATATCACTCCATGCTGCACACAACCAGCCCTCAGTAAATATCTGCTCTGTTAAAGTGCATGAAAGAATTTTAGAGCTAGGAAAGCTCTTGGAAAGCCTTTGGTGCGGACTCATTTTAAAGAACAGAAACTATATCCAAGATGCCAGTAAGAAACAATTAGATAGTAAATGAGCTAGGAGTAGAAAGAAACTAGAGTTCCTCACTACCTGCTTAGCATTCTTTCTTCTGCCTCATTCCCCAGGACCATATTGCTGAGCAAAGACAAAGTGTCTGATGGAAGCCCGGCCACTTTGATCTCTGCAGTTTGGGTCTGGGAAAGCCTTGGTCCAATCAGTTTGACCATGAGAAAGGAGAGTCCCAATTTCTGTGTTTGCCACTTTGGGCAGGAAAGGAGACTCAGACTGAGCCATTGTTATTCTACCAGCAAATCAGTCTGTCACTCACGGGCTTCATCTGGAGTGAGCCAAAAGGGATGGTGCCACCCCCAACACCCAGATATATTTTTAAGCACTTTCCTTAAAATAGCAAGGTATATTCATTATGCCAGGTAGATATGCCTTGAAGAAAGGATATGAACATAATGACCATCACTCAAACATTGTCAAAAAATGATCATTGAAATTGGGAAACTAAGGAGAACGTTGTCTTTATTAGCTGACAGTCCATGAAGGTGCTAAAAAAGCTTTTTTTAAGCACTTGAACAACACTTGAACAATGATCAGACAATATTCAATGAAATAATCACGGGCTTGGTAGTTTCTCCAGGGGGTGGCTATACCGATGCTGTAGTTAATATATGGAACATTGTGCTCCATGTGAGTGGTCATATTCAGACCATTGCATTCAGTTCTGCATGCCATAACTGAAAAGGACAAATATTGACCTAAAATTCTGACTCTGAAAAGAGGGTTAAGATGAGATTCTTCACCATAGCTGTATTTAGATCTTTAAGGGTGTGAGATGTGAATAAGAGATTAGATTTATTTTTTGTAACTCTAGAGGACTAGTGAGTACAAATCACAGAAAAGGGCTTCCCTTCTGGAAATGAGGTTGTCTTGGTTCCCTAGGAATCATTTCTCATGGTCAGATCTTTAGGGTCAGTTTTCCGTTTGTATTATTCCCCTATGAGACATGGGTCATATTTACAATTCCCTAATATTTATTCTTACAGAAGTAATAAAAAATATCAACACATCAAAGTAGATGAGAAAGGGCTTTTGGAAGAAAAACATAATACTGGAAAATGACAGAACTGATCAACTTTATCAATGTATTGGGAAGAACATTGTAGTGGAGTTAGGGATAAAAATTATAAAGTATAAAATCCAAGCCAGCAACGGCTAAGGCAGCAAGAATCCATGACAGGAGGGTTGGCTCATCCTTTGGATGATAGTTCTACTAAACATACGTCAGTCATTGTCTTTAAGGACATGCCATATTGTTATTATCCATTTTGATTTCAGAAGACACAAGCACCTCAATTACAAGCTTAGATGTAGTTACATTTTTAAAATTTGCATCCCAATGTTTTCTGAGAATTTCTCCTCTCTCTTTTAGCATTTTGCAGAATGCAAGCCATAGAGCCATAGGAAGAGATTTCTTAAGGCATGTCAAATTCTTCATTGTAAACCAACAATCTATTGCTCACACTTTTCTATGTTTGGAGTATTAATAACTCATGTAACTTATCCCCCTGAGTCTTCATCACTATGATTTAATTCCTTACTTTTTATCACAGTCATCTTTACTGAGAAGAGATTCTACATCTTGATTTTCGATATTGCTAATTCTCTGGGAATAGCAAGGACATGGGCAAGACCAGGCTTGAAGGAGCAGAACCTGTAATCAGTAGCCCTTGTAACAGAGTAGTCTTCTCTCTGTTACTCTGATCTTTGGCTTATGTGTTTCTTTAAAAAAATTTTTTTTTCCCAACAACAGACAAATCACAATGGTAGATTTGGCTGAAAAGAAAAGTAACACGATTTCAAACATGTAAAATTGGTCCATCATTGAATAAACACCAACAGCATCTACCTCTTTCCAGTTTATTCACAATGACTTAGTAGTGTGCATAAATATAAATCTTGATCTCTACATACTTACTGTGGATTTAATCTGTGATATAAAACCTAATTTGTTTCACCTATTGCTGCTTTTATGCATCTGAGTCCTGTATAGAGTAAAAGAAGAACATTTATCCAGCAAGTTCAGTAGTAAGGGATGTGACCACAAGATGGTGGTGCACATCTGCTGATGCAGAATATGCAGAAGGTTCCTGTCAGTGGATTCTCAATGAAAAGGCTTATGACCCAAGCAGAGCCCTTTTCTTATTGGCTGGGTAGATACTGTGGAATACCATTATGAGTGCTGTAGAAGGGCCACCATCTGAAACAAGTAGCTCTTATGGCTGGAGATTGCAGGTCTGTGACTGATCCTAATTAGGAAGAATAATGATGACATCCATTCAAGTTTTATTTATGCTCTTTTGGCTGCAGCTGGACTGTGAGTTGGGGGATTTTGGGAAAAAGAATATATTAGTGGATGTTTTTTAGATGTCCAGGAGAAAACATGCTTTACTCAGTCTTCCTATAGTTACTGTAGAAAAAGACAATTCTAGGGAATAATTACCTGACAATCCTTCTCCTTTCTCTTTTTCCTTGTGAACAGATGTAAGAGGAGGAGAGAATGTGGGGCTGCACCCTCCTACCCTGAGTGTCCAGGAAGGAGACACCTCTGTTATCAACTGTTCTTATTCAGACAGTGCCTCCAGCTACCTCCTTTGGTATAAGCAGAAACTTGGAAAAAGTCCTCAATCCATTATAGACATTCGTTCAAATATGGGCAAAAAGCAAAAAGGAAGATTCACCGTTTTCTTGAGTAAGACAGCCAAGCATCTCTCCCTGCACATTGCAGCCACCCAACCTGGAGACTCAGCTGTCTACTTCTGTGCAGAGAGTGCACATTGCTTAACAGACATCTGTAACTTATACCCAAACCTGAGACTGGAGTTGAAGCCACACTCCCTTTCCTTTGGCATAGACCTTCAATTTACATAGTTTAAAAATGAATAGTCAGGTGAAGAGATGCACAGGGCAAGGTACAGAGGAAGGGGCATTGAACTTCCACCCCTCTCTGGCCCTGCCACGCTCCTGTGTTCAGCAATCAGGAAGCTCCACATAATGGATTCTTAAGGGGAATTAGTGAATTTTTACTCTGAAATCTAGGCTTTAAAGAAGACTTTACCTTTGCTATTCAGATTCCTCTCTTGTAAATAACCCCTTAGTGTCAATATCACAGTGCTTTTTATGGATGAACTTTTAACTCTTATCTTTCAAAAATTGCTTTTGTGGTTTTTTTTTCTGATTGTACGATGTTACATGGCAAATATGGAAAATATGAAATTAATAATTCTGTTCCCAGATAATTTTTTGCTAAAGTTTGGTTAATTTATTCATAGATTCTTATTATAATTGTGATCATGATTTTTCACTTCATATTATATCTTGAATTGGCCATTTCTCGTTTCATCAAATCTTCTCAAACACTTGCTTTTTATTAGCTCTGTGAGAGATTTCCATAAGTCACAGTGATTTTTATGTTCTCACTTTCTATATCTGTTGTAAAATTTGACAGCCCTTTCCACTTGCTCTTCATTGTTGAGAAAAAGTGACTTGGGTTTTTCTTTAGAGTCTAGTTAGAATATAAACTGTTTGTGTGTTTGAGGGAAATTAAGATAGAAAATGATTTCAGATTAGACTCACCAATCTATTCTTCTTTTTCAAAATCTTATTAGTATCTGGTCTTATTCACCCTCTCATAGAATTAAGAAGGGAGAGTTGTGTGTTTTAACTATTGTTATATCTGCAGAACCTAGCACAAGCTTTATCACATATTTAATAATCAGTAGATATTTGCTAAAGAAAGAAGAAAAAAGTGAATTCTGCTATAGTATATTCAAAATTTTAATTTAGGCTTTGTGGCTAAATTTTTTTTTTTTTTTTTTTTTTTGAGACAGAGTCTCACTCTATTGCCTGGGTTAGAGTGCCATGGCATCAGCCTAGCTCACAGCAACCTCAAACTCCTGGGCTCAAGCAATCCTCCTGTCTTAGCCTCCCGAGTAGCTGGGACTACAGCCATGCATCACGATGTCTGGCTAATTTTTTTTTCTATGCATTTTTAGTTGTCCAGCTAATTTCTTTCTATTTTTAGTAGAGATGGGGTCTCGCTCCGGCTCAGGCTGGTCTTGAACTCCTGAGATCAAATGATCCACCCACCTTGGCCTCCTAGAGTGCTAGGATTATAGGTGCAAGCCACCATGCCTGGCCTGTGGATTAAATTTATAAATGGATTTGTGACCGAATAAAACTCCTTAAAAAGTATATTTGATTACATGATTATTCAAGAATGTAATACATCTTGCTGTTTATCTATGCCTTTCTTTCTCCATAAAGTTTCATTGTTTTAGGATGGTTAAATTTATTCTCAGATATTTAATTTCTATTGCTACCTTTATCTTTCTTTTTGGGGTATGTGAGAAAGTTTTTCATATATCTTTTTCAGCTACCTTACTCAATTCTTACTAGTGGATTCCAGTAAGCATTTGGACTAATGGTTAATTTTTTAGATAGCTTGCTACAATATCCCTGCCTCACTTTTATATTTTGACTGCATTAAACATTAGTACAAGTTTCTTTTTAAAGTTGTATCTTCTAGTGTTGTAGATAAATCAATGGAAATAAAGAGGTTGCATAAATAGTTAATTCCCTAATTCTCCCACCCCTTGTCAAGGGTGGATTAATTTGAAAATCCCTCATATTCTTCCTATGGATGGATATAATTGACAGTTGGTATAGTGAGAATGAGTTATGATTGTTATTAGCTAAGTGGCTTGTTCTTATGGGGAAACTCATTGGATTAAATTAGGGTTAAAACATCTGAACAAGAATGGTCAGTATTGTGGCCCAGTACCTCAACTGGCTTTTATTATTTGTTTTCTATACCACTAGCTCCTGTCCAGTAGAAGAAAGTTGCCTCTTTATTGGCTCATTTTTCTCTAAAACTGAAAATGAAGTGAGTGAGAGTCATGGATTATATTCTATCAGTTTATTTCTTGGTTAAAAGAGACAGAGTGTAATTGCTATTGGTTTAATTTCTGTATCTTATTTAGATGCCAATTTTTCCAAGGGAAGGAAAAAATTTCTTTAGCCAGAATCTGCAAAGCCAGTACATAGTTAGCTCAGATCCAGACACATTTAAGCTTTAAGCCTTAACAGGTAATAAAATTCACTGTAAAACCACCTTCTGATGTTGGTATAGAATGAAACAAATAGATCAATGGAACTAAATAAAAGATGCCAGAAAAATATGCCAAGGTTGGTGTATTTTTTTTATTGCCTATGTACAAATTTGCTGGTTTAAAGGAACACAAATATTTTTGCAATAAATTTCACTGGGGTAGAACAAGGTATCAGTAAGGCTCCTTTCCGAGGCTATAGGAGAGCATCTGTTCTTTGCCTCTTCCAGCTCTGATGGCTGCCAGCATTTCCTGGCTTGAGGCCCCTCACTGATCTCAATCTCTGTGGTCACATTGGCTTCTCTTCTACTGTTGTCATATCTCCCTCTGCCTCCCTTTCATAAGTATGCATGTGATTGCCCTTAAGGCCCATATAATCCAGGATAATCTTCCCATCTCAGTCTCCTTCCCTTAATTATATCTTTTTAAATTTTATTTTTTAATTTTATTTTAGTTTTTTAATTTTTATTATTTAGTTTTTTAATTTTATTTTTTCTTGCCATAAGAAGTAACATTCACAGATTCCAGGGATTAAGATTCAGTTTTTTGTAGGCATTATTTTGCCTACCACAGTTGGCATGGCTGGACCTTTTCTTTTCCAAGTTAAGAAAATGATATATGTATTAGGCAGAGTCCAGTCAGGAAAATAGATGCAACATCAATTGTTTTATTTTATTTTCTCAGTGTTTTAAATTTTTACTTAAGAATTATCACATAGAAAAATGAGCAGTTTTTGATGTGTAGTTCAGTCTGTGAATTTTGAATTTTAATACATTTTATAGGTTTATGTAACTATCACCCAAAAATGATGCAGTGCAGTTTCATCACCCCCAAAACTCTCTTGTGCTATCTGTTCACAATCATACCCTTCCCATCTCCACTGCTTGCAAACTTTGCTTTGCTCTGTTATCTTTTCCTGGATGTCATATGAATGGAACTATGAAATATGTAAACTTGTGTGAAGTCTGATTTATTGGTTAGAGGAAGTACATTCTTGATCTCCATCTCTGCCACCATGCACAGGTGTTTCCACACCTGAATGTTTTATATTCATAAGTCATTTCATAGGAATTACTCATCATTTCAAGTGTTTGAATATCTTTGGAGATTTGATTTATAGTTCTCCAAAAGAAACCTATCACAATTGATAATGGAGAGGTTCAGTTGAGGTTTTCAGTTGTACCAACTCCATCCTAAATTTTTATCAATAGATGTTTCTGTAACATTTTAAGGCTAATTTGATTGCTCAAAATTCACTTTAGTCATACTTGGGTATGGTTACTGTTTAGGTTTTCCCACAATTCTTTAAGTTGGTTGCACTAGCTTTGGCTTTGTAGAGCTGAATTATAGCGTTAGGGTGATGATTGCTTTATGTAAAGTCTTTGTCTAAGCAAATTGTTTCATTACCAAAAGAACAAAATAGAGTAAATTAGAAATACATAACCTTCTATCATTAAAATGAGAAAATACAACCAAAAGAAGAAAAATGCAAAGGAGAGAATGCCGATCAGTGGTTCCAATCATCTAAAGAATTCTGTTTCATTAGACTTGGATGGAGCTGTCTAGTGTATAAAATTATGCTGTTTTAAGGATCTTAGCACTTATCTTCTATGGATGCCTGCTTCAGAAGATTCTCTAGAGAATCTTAGTTTAAGATCTTTAACATAAGCAACTTTTCAATTCTTGTCATCTAAAGATGGATGATGTCATACTAATCAGTAAAAAGTAAACACAGATGAACTCCTTGTGCTTTATCTGCTGAACTGGCAATAAACAATACCTGAAGATGCTTCAATCAATTTAGACAAGGCTAAAATTATATTGAGATAAGGAAAATAAGCTATGGCTGCTGTGTACAGAAATAGGCTATGATAGGCAATGAGTTTTTGTTTTTTGTCATATTGTTGAGTGCTGTCCTTAGGGCATGGGGTTCATTCACAAGGAAAGATTTCTCACAATCAGTGCTGCTATGATCAGCTGTCCTGGGAAGATGTATGGAGTCATCTAGGATACATTCCATTCAGAGCTTGGCATAGAGAATGTAGTGTCTTGCATGGCTCATTTAGGGTTCCACTTTGAGTAATAGAAAAATGTAAATTCAAAGGTTCGATAACTTAATGACCACCTTGTAGTGTCTAATCTGGCCTTTATGAACAGAGCTGGGTTGTCAAAGTTAAGTAGAGAAGTGAAGGGGGTGTTCACAACAGGGCTCATGGTCTGAGGGCTTCATTGTAAACTCTTCAGCAAAGAGAGATTAGTTTTTTTCTGCTGTTTTGCTCCAAGATAGGCACTGAGCGGACATTGGAAGTGAAGGGCAATATTTTTATATTAATAAGGAAGTTGAAAGATCTGCAGAGATTAGTCCAAACAGCCTTACCTTTTTATCATAATGTGATTAATTTCCATCTTAGGAGAAACAACAACATACATAGATTTGAGGATACATGATTATTACATGTATCCTCAAATACATGTAATAATATGTTGTCTCCATCATCCACTATATGTGGTATTTTAAAGTTTTTATAATTTATTCACTTTAATGTAAAAAATTTAGTTGTTATGAGTACATAATAGTAATATATACATGAGTTATTTTCAAGTAAGTGCCTACCTCCCAGTTCCATTAGAGATATAATGACTGAATGTAGTAGTTGGTTAATTTATCAATATTCTTTTACTATATCTATTCTTATTTTCAGAATTAATTGTTATCACATTAAGTGTTTGTTAATCCAAAAGAAGCTTTGCATAGAGTAAGATCCTTGGCCAGTTCTTAGAGAAGTTTGACATGACACACACCAACTTGCTACACCAGGGAACCTCTGTTTCCTGTTCTAGGGCAGCAGCAGCAGCAGCAGCAGCACATAGCCCAGTAATTCTTCTCACACCCTGTCAGGCTCACCTCACAGTGCAGAGCCCTGGAACTGAAGGAGAAGAAGATATTTTCCCTCTAGAGGAAGAAGCAAACATGTTGCTCTGCAGCCTGCTGAAGGTGGTCACAGCTTCAATGTGGCTAGGTAGGGATGGCCCAGTGGGAACATGCTTCCTCTGTGATCTAAGACTGGGGGTTCAGGAATTGTCTCATGGGGATGTTGGGAAGGAGGGTAACAGGGTGTAAAAATAGAATTCCTTTGTCACACACCACTTATTCCTAAACCTTCTGATTCTATCTTTTTTCCTTTAGGATCTGGTATGGCCCAGAAGGTAACCCAGTCCCAACCAGCAATGTGGGTGCAGGAGAAGGAGGCTGTGACCCTGGACTGCACATATGACACCAGTGTTAGTCGTTTTTCTCTATTCTGGTACAAGCAGCCCAGCAGTGGGGAGATGATTTTTCTTATTCGTCAGGACTCCTATAAACAGCAAAATGCAACAGAAGGTCGCTACTCATTGAATTTCCAGAAGGCCAACAAAAGCATCAAGCTTGTCATCTCAGCTTTACAACTGGGGGACTCAGCGATCTATTTCTGTGCCCTGAGTGAGCCCACAGTGAGAGGATTGTTGGAGAGAGGTGTACAAAAACCTAAGGTCTTGTTTGTGGTATCACCTGCTGCAGGGACCAAAGGAAGGAATCACCATCACAGACAGGAAGTGGCTAGGCCTGTGGCAGCACAGGTGCAGGTTTGGAGGGAAAATACTCACTCTAATAAAATAATTTTCTCAATTCATATACCAGTCCCAGAGTTATTATTGATCAAAACATCCTAATGACCGAATCATTGGATTGAAGTTAAGACATGTCAAATTTTTGACCATAGATTGAAGAGAAAGAACAGAGACAACAAGCAATTTGCCTTTTGGCTATTAGATGAGAGAAGAATTGGCTAAGCAAATTTAGAAACATATGACTGAAAAAATCACTGAAAGGCTGTGTGAATTATTAGATTTTGAGATCAGTTTGTCTAATAATGTTGCAAAATAAAGCTTCATACCTGTGACCAAACCACAATGTTAGTCGTTAGGAAGAATCAAGCTATAATCCCTCATATGAGAAATATTTACACTGGTTAATTTGAACAACTATGCTTTAGAGTCCTTTATCACAAGCAAGTTTCAAGGAACACAATGAGAGTAATCACTAATCATAAATAAAGTTGCAGTACCCTGCTGGTTTACAGAAGCCTAGAAAACTTTTCAGCCTTGTTACAGTTCGTTGCTCAAATAAGGTACCTAATAATTGGTCTGAAGAAAAATACTCATGTCACTATTGGGTGGTCAGCTCCTAAAATTGCAGTTTGTGCACCCTTTAAATATATTTCCTTTCCTCTTTTCGTGAAAGCCTCATACTTGCAATTATTTTCTTTTTTTAAAGAAATTATTTCATTTGGATAAATGTAGTACTTATTAACATACTGTCTTAAAATATTTCAAGGCTTTCCACACTCTATCCTCTCTCTAATTTTCTCTGAAACCAGTCTATACTGGAAAAAACAGAGAACACAACAGATTTTGCTATTAGAGATATTTACGTTCAAAATTGTTAGCTCTGCCATGTACTTGTTGAACATTTGGGAGCTTTGTTTAGTCACTTGTAAAATGTGATAGTGATATATTCCTTGATATTTTGTTGTGAGTATCAATAATGTATCCAAAGAGATTGACAAGTAGCAGATGAAGTATTAACGAGGGTATTTTCAATAAGTACAAAGAAAGAATTAGATGAAAATACAGCATCCTCTCCTAATTAAAAACTCTCTGAGAATGAAGAATTGAAGGGAACTTCCTCAACTTGATAAGGACACTTACAATAAAGCCCACACCATGTCATACTTGGTTCAGAATAAGGGAAAAATTATTGCTCTCACCACTTCTATTGAATATTATTCTAGAGGGTCTATCTAGTGGTATAAGTCAAGAGAAAGAAATAAAAGGCTTACAGCTTGGAAAGCAAAATATGAACCTATGTTTATGTGCTGAAAGCATAACTGTCAAAGTAGAAAATCCAAGAGAGTCTGTAAAAAAGCTACTGGCATTAATAAGTATGTTTAACAAAGTTGCAGGGTAAAGGATAAACTTACAAAAATCAGTTGTATTTTTATATGCTCACAGGGAACAATCAGAAATTAAAATTAAAAAATAAATACCATTTATAATAGTATCAATAATATTAATATATAGGGATACATCTTACAAAATATGCAAGACCTGGTTACTTAAAGCTATAAAATTTGCTAACAGAAATTAAGACCTAAATAAACGGAGAGATAAACTATGTTTCTGATTGACACTCAATATTGTTAAGATGTCAATTCTCTCCCAATTAGCCTATAGATTCAATATACCTATAATAAAATTCCTATCAGATTTTTTTGTTAAAATTAGCGAGTTGATTCTAAAATTCTTATGGAAATGTAAAGGATCTAGAGTAGTCAAAACAACTTTAGAAAAGGACAAATTTGGAGAGATAACATTACCTGACTTCAAGCCATTTTTCACAGTAATTAAGACAGTGTGTCATTTGTATAGAGGTAGACAAATAGATTAATGTAACAGTATAGAGAGTCTAGAGATAAATCCATTCTTATATGGGCAACTAATTTTAGACAAAGTTGCAAAGACAATTCAATGGAGAAGGCTAGTCTTTTCTACAAACCGTGCTGAAATAATTGTATATGCGTATGCAAAAAGTCAACTTTGGTCCGCACTTCACACCAAAACTTTATTTAATGTTAATCAGAAACATAAATATAAAACCCAAAACTATAACACTTCTAGAAAAAGCCAGGAGAAAAATCTTTGTGATCTTGACCTATGCAGGTATTTCTTAGATATGATAGTAAAACATGACTCATAAAAAATTGATAAATTGGGCTTCGCAAAAATTAAAAACTGCCTTTGGAAAACCTCTGTCGGTAGAGTTAATAGGTGAAGTATAGACTGGGAAAAGCATTTGCAAAGCATGTATCTGATAAAGGAGTTGAAGTGAATAAAGTGTATAAACCCTCAAAACTCAACACCCCAAAAAGAAACAACTAAATAATGATGGGCAAAAGATTTGAACAGACACTTAAGCAAAAAATATATATATGAGGGGCAAATAGGCACATGAAAACATGCTCAGCACCATTAAACATTAGGTATATGCAAATTTAAATCACAATAGGTTACCACACATATCTATTAGAGTGGGGTTGACAAGGATGTGGAGCAACTGGAATTCCATGGACTATTTGTGGGCATATAAAAAGGTGTAATTACTATGGAAAACAATCTGGCAGTTTCTTAGTAAGTCAAATATATACCTACCATGTGATACAGCCATTCTATTTCCAGGTTATTTAGCTAAAAGAAATGAAGGCACATGTCTATACAAATACTTGTACACACATTATCATAGCAGCTTTATGATCATAACAGCCTTCAACTTGTAATGAAACGTACATCAACAAATAAATGGATGAACAAATTGTTTCATATCTGTATAATGGAATAGTACTACTCAGCAATAAAAAGCAGTGGACCATTGATCCATATAACACCATAGAAGAATCTCAAAATAATTATGCCGAGTAAAAGAAGATAGAGTATATATTATTCCATTTTTATAAATTATAAAATACATAAACTAACCTATAATGACAGTAGAGTTGCCTGGAAATAGGGCTGGGATATGAGAAGAGTGTTAGAGTAGGATTACAAAGAGATATGAGAAACTTTTGGGATGATACAGATAAGTTTGTTGTGTTGAGTGTAGTGATAGCTTCACAATCTTCACAGTGTCAAATCTTATGAAATTGTTCACTTTAGATAGGAACAGTGGATTTTTATGTCAATTATAGACCAATAAAACCATTAAACAGCCAAAAAAAATTTTTTTGAGACAGTCTTACTCTGTTGCCCCAGCTAGAGTGCCTTGGTGTCAGCCTAGCTCACAGCAACCTCAAACTCCTGGGCTCAAGCAATCCTTCTGCTTCAGCCTCCCAAGTAGCTGGGACTACAGGCACGTGCCACCACGCCTGGCTAATTTTTTCCGTGTATTTTTAGTTGGCCAATTAATTTATTTCTATTTTTAATATAGACAAGGTCTTGCTCTTGCTCAGGCTAGTCTCGAACTCCTGACCTTGAGCAGATCTGCCAGCCTAGGCCTCCCAGAGTGCTAGGTTTACAGGCGTGAGCCACCGCGCTGGGCCTAAACAGCCAAATTTAACAAATATCTGCTCTCAGTATTTTAGAATCTTCTAGTATGGCCCAAAATGCAAAATGTTCTCACTGGGTTTACACTATTTTTTAAAGTATAGACAACCACTTTTTGTATCAAGGTACTATACTGTTTTAAGTCCAGCATCGTTTCAATTTATTTTGCATTCTCCCCTGTATATCAGAGTAGAAGTTTGTAGCTAATTTTTCAGAACTCCTTTCCATCATAATTCTGTACCAGGTACTGATAAAATGATTTGGAAAGTTAGAGGAAGAAGAGGGTTATATGAAACCCAAATGATATCTGTGTCTGAATTTCTCTTTGTTTTAATTTTCTAAATCATTATGGGTATAGAACAGTTGTATATATTTATAGGACATATATGATGTTTTGATATGGGCATACAATGTACATTAATCAAATCAGGGCAATTGCAGTATCCATCATCTCAGGCATTTTTCATTTCTTTGTGTTAAGAATATTCCAATCTCACCCTTTTAGTTATTTTAAAGTATACCTTAATTTGTTGTTGATTATAGGTACTTTGTTGTGCTATCAAATATTGTTCGTGTTATATTCATCTAACTATATTTTTATGTTCATTAACCATCTCCACTTTATTCCCCCCCCCCCGCTACCCTTCCCAGCCTCTGGTAATACTCTGTGTTTCCATAAAATCAATTGTTTAACTATTTAGCTCCAACATGTGAGTGAGAACAAGTGAGATTTGTCTTTCTGTGGTTGGCTTATTTCACTTAGCATAATGTTCTCCATTTCTGTCCATACACTGTTGGTGGGAATGGAAATTAGTGTAACCACTATGGAGAACAGTGTGGAGGTTCCCCAGAAGACTAAAAATAGAACTACCATAAAACTCAGCAATCCCACTGCTGGGTATATATATCCAAAAGAAGAGAAAAAATATCAAAAACATATTTGAATGTCTTAAGTCTGTATCTGGGTAGCTATTCACATGTTGACTCTGGATGCATATTTGATCTGAATTTGTGAGGCGTGAATTCCATGGAACAGACTGAGCTAAGCTTCCATCTATGTGTCTAGGTATAAATGTTTAGAGGGCCTTAAAGAAAGCTGTGTCCTTCCTCTGGATTTTATTCTGGTAACACCCCTGGAGGTATTTTGATTTCTTTTGTTCTGCTGTATAGAATAAAAGTTCATCAGAAGTAAGCATAGAGAAGTGTTTATTTTTGCTGGTAGTACTTCAAGGAAAAAGAACAGTTTTTAAAAATTTGTGTAATCATGAAGACATTTTCTGTTGGTGACCCCAGAACATTCTTTTTGATCCTTGATGACCGACTTGGCACAGGACAATATTCTCAAATGAAATCTTGTGAAGCAGTATCAGTCTGGCTGCAACAAAACCACCTGAGGATTTTTTTTAAAAAAATACTTTTTGAGCCTCCATCTTAGAAATTGTGATTTCTAAAGTTATTGGTGGGATCCCAGAATCTGTAATTTTAAATGATTCACAAGTAGGTTGAGTTCTCAAACAGCCAGGTTTTAGAACCTCTATTAGCGGATGTGTCTTCATTCATTTGAAAAGCCAGGGAAGAAGAGAATACTAACTCATGGCTCAGTCTTTTGATGTAAATCCATATCTGGGTTCCCTTAATTGTGGGGGGAACTTATTCAGTTAAAGTTTGGCAACAAAAGCTTGGCAGATGGGCAACAGTACGAAACATCCTTGAGGCTAGATCTCCATTAGAGTATGGCACTGGTACTCATCGCCAGATTGGCACAGGCAAGTCACCTCATCTTGGAGTCATGGAACCATGAGGGAGTTAGATATTGATCTCAGATCATTCAGTAACTTTAATTAAAGTGTTTCTTCTATAGGATTCATATTTTTCACTTTTTAATGATTCCAAAATTCAGAAATATTTGACAATTGAAAAGATAGTATGACTTTTTCCCCTCAAAACCTCTTTTAAAAAGACACCATTTCTTTCATTGAAATTGTTTTGGGACTGAGGAAATATTCTCTTTCAAGTAGTAGTGATTTATTAATTATAGACCATATATTCATTATTTTTATTTTATTTAACAAATATTTATTGTGCATGCAGTAAATGTCAGTCATTGTTCCACATGTTGGGATGCAGTGCTCAAAAACACAGAGTCATTCAATAATGATGAGACTTCTTATTACTTCCTCTGATTTCTCTGACATCTCAATGGGTTATATAGGCTGGTTCACAATGTATTCACAGGAATATAAGGGCATTTATTAATGTGTATAAGAAAATTTGTATCTTCTCAGCTACAGAAATACTTTGGGATGCTCTTGTAGGGAAACTGCATGTCAAATAGTGTCCTAAGAACACAATAGACCTTGGAGGGTATGACAGTTGTCCTTGATATAGGCATACAATGTATATTAATTGACAAGGGCCACCTGAGAATGGCAGATACCTTATAAATGAGATCAGGGTTGAGGACATGTTTTGATTTGTGGAAGGAGGCCATGAAAAAACATTCATCCCAGTTCAGTCCTTGCCCACCAGGGGGAGTGGTTTCCTAACACAAACTCATTTCCTGTGTGAATTGTAGGTTTAGATTTAACATTTCACTGTGACTTCAACATTTCTTCCTGCTAAGAATCAAGAACATTGTTTAGGCGACACTCAAAAGATGAACTCTTCTCCAGGCTTAGTGACTGTGATACTCTTACTACTTGGTAAGTAAAATGCCTGTTAAAATTTGGACTCTTTCTCCTTTCATGTCAGCAAAATCTTTAACCATAATTTTATCTGAGAGCTTTATGGCCAAAGTGACACAGATCTCTTTTTCCTCCCCAGGAAGAACCCATGGAGACTCAGTAACCCAGACGGAAGGCCAAGTGACCCTCTCAGAAAAGGCTTTCCTGCATATAAACTGCACTTACACAGCCAGAGGGTACCCTTTCCTTTTCTGGTATGTCCAATATCCAGGCGAAGGTCCACAGCTCCTCCTGAAAGCCGCGACAGCCAATGATAAAGGAATGAACAAAGGTTTTGAAGCCACATACAAGAAAGAAACCACCTCCTTCCACTTGGAGAAAGCCTCCGTCCACGAGTCAGATTCAGCTGTGTACTACTGTGCTATGAGTGACACAGTGACAGGAACCACTGGGGGAGCTGAGCACAAACTCCAAGCAGCACCTGGGGCCTGGCTGCTGAGTGTCTGCCTCTGTGATCCAATCTGGTTTCAGCAGGGCTTGTGGCTGTTTGCCCCTCAGTTTTTCTAGTTGAGGCAAGAATCATACAAATGGCCATGTCAGAAGAACAAGAAGTGAACATCCCATACTCAACTCTTCATTAGTGAAACTGTAAACAGAGTAGTACCAACTATTTCCTCACATAGGGCCAAAGTAATTTCGAGGTAAAACCACATAAACAACGAAGTTGTCTCTGTGCTCATCCTTGTAAACAAAGTCCAGCCCCCACATCTTTATCCTGGTCACCCTGGTAGATATTGCCACATCCTATTATATTTTTAGATAGCCCAATATGCCAGAGAAATGGCATCTGTATAATGTCTCCCTAACAGAGGATAGCAAGAGAGATAATGGGAGAGCTACAGCCTCCCCACCCTGCAAACAGGATTCTTGATAGACAGAGACGGGAAGAGAAGGAAGGAGGAGAAACAGAATCTTACATGTAAACACAATAGTGCACGAGAGGAACACAAAATGTATCATAGAGAAGAAAGGTTTCTCTTTCTTCTGTTTGAACATCAGGTGGTAGTACAGGCTGATGTTCAAAGCAAAAGGGAGGGATTAATATCATAAGGAAATACTGACTCTTGTCTAAATTGTGAGTATCCCCAGTCAGTTACATAGATCAGTTGGTTTTCTAACAAGGCCTAACATGAGTTAGTTTTGCAGTGTCAATGGAAGTATAAGCACTCTATAATTATCTCTGTATATCTGGGAAATCCTATTCAAAAGGAGTATAGAAATTGAAAAAGACATAAACTCACAAAAAGAAGAGAAAAGGAGATGACACCAGACAGTGATGTCAATAAAGTTTTAGAGGGTGAGAAGTGTATGAAGAAATGACAACTTGCACAGCAGACCAGATAAAGAAGAAACTTGGGCCTAGTGAAAAAGCCAACAAAGAGCACCCTGAAAAGGTTTGCTGTGCTCTCCTGGAAAGGTTGAGGAATCAGAAGTACCAATTACCTTTGAATAATTATCGAAGATGATGCTGTGTGTGTGTGAATGTGTGTATATGTGTGGATGTGTGCATGTATGTGTTGAGGGTATATTTGAAAGGAGTGTATGAAAACAGGAGGACCAAGTGAGAAAATCTGAAAGTTACACACCAATCACTACTCCCTGCATAACAAGCAATGATCACTTCCTACACCCAGAGGAAAGTTGGAAGTTGGTCTTTCATGAATTGTGGAACAGGACATAATGATGTAACAAAGAAAAAACTAAAAAAAATAGAAGATTATAATAGTCAATTATTCAATATATAAAATATGAAATATTATTTAAGAAAAGGAATATACTCATAGTAATCTATGCAGTTCAACCAAATTGGCTTATAGACAAGTTTCAATAAATTATACTATCAGTAGTGGTGTGGACAGAATACCTGGTTTCCCTAAATCTTGTATATTGCTAAGCATTTTGTCATCTGCTTAAAAGTTAGATTTTTTCATTTGAAATTTTTTTAAATTATAAATAAGATGGAGCTTCATTTGATAGACTTAAAATCCATTTATATTTTTCTCTATATTGCCTTTCATATATCTGCCCATTTTCTACTGTTACTGAATTTCCCCCCCACCTACCATTGTTCCACCAATCAGGTATTAGGAAATTCTTTATTTTTTAAAAGTAGTTTTAGTTTACAGCAAAATTGAGGGGAAAGTACCAATTTTTCCCACATGCAAAGTGTACCCCCTAACCCCCACAGCCTTTTTAATTATCAACATCTGCCATCAGAGTGGTACATTTTTTACATTTTATGAACCTGCATTGACACATCATAGTCCTCCAAAGTCCATAGTTTATATTAGGCTTCACTCTTGGTTTTGTATATTATACAGATTTGGAGAAATGTGTAATGATGTACGTACTACTTTAGTAACAGAGTATTTTCACTGCCCTAAAAGTCCTCTGAACTCTACCTCTCATTCATTTCTCAACCTAACCCATGATGACCACTTATCTTTTTGCTATTTCCATATTCTGCCTTTTCTAGAATGTTATATAGTTGGAATCATGAAATATACAGCCTTTTCATACTGAAATCTTTCACTTAGTAACATGCATTTAAGGTCCCTCTGTGTCTCTCATGGGTTTATAGCTTATTTCTTTTTAGCACTGAATAACATTCCATTGTCTGGATATACCGTAGTGTATTTACCCATCCACCTCCTGAAGAGCATCTTTAACACTGCTTTACAGTTTTGTCAATTATGAATAAAGCTGCTATAAATATCCTTTTGCTATAAATCCTTAATGGGATTTATATTTTGTTTTGCTGCTGCATTGTTTGAATTTCTTGTATATTCTAAGTTTAACCAAAGTGTCATTTTTACTTTTAACAGTTCACATGAAAACAATCTGGATTTTGAATATTTTTTTGATCACTATCATGAGTCCACAAGATGGCAGTGTCTTCCCCAGGCACTCAGGAAAGCTCATGTTCTCCTGTGTGTGTGTGTGTGTGTGTGTGTGTGTGTGTATGTGTGTATGAGTGAAAGAGAAAAAGAAAGAGAGATGAGGGGAGTGGTTTAGTGGTATAGCAGAGGTGATAAAAAGAGCATTTTTCTTCTAATTGGTACAACACATTCTTGTTATGAGTCCTAAGGCAGAAGAATGAGAAACATCAGAGCCAAACTCATTTTTTTAGAGTTTAAAAAGTTGAATCCTCATTGAACCAGTGGAGAAAAGAATGATGAAGTCCTTCACCATTTTGCTAGCAATCCTGTGGCTTCAGTTAAGCTGTGAGTTTTGGATATTTCCATAGGAACATAAAGTTAACCATTTGGAGCTATTGTCTATTCTAGGCCTGTGGCTAAAATCATGATATTTTTTTCTCTAACTAAGGGAGGGTGGGAGCCTGTGAAAAGACAATTTAAATTCTGGGGAGGAAGCCTCCAGTGCTCAACCAACCTTCTTTGTCTGAATATTGTCTTTTGCACAGGGGTGAGGAGCCAGCAGAAGGAGGTGGACCAGACTCCCGAATTCCTCAGTGTTTCTGAGGGAGCCATGGCCTCTCTGAACTGCACTTATAGCAACACCGCTTCTCAGTACTTCTTTTGGTACCGACAATATTCTGGGAAAGGCCCTGAGTTGCTGGTGTACATATTCTCCACTGGTGACAAACAAGAAGGAAGATTTACAGCACAGCTCAATAAAGCCAGCCGATATGTTTCCCTGCTCATCAGAGACTCGCAGCCCAGTGACTCAGCCACCTACCTCTGTGCACTCAGCACACAGTGCTCCCCAGGCACCTGCAGCCTGCACCCAAACCTGCTGGGGCCCCAGCAATGCCTGATACAGAACTTAGATTGCAGGGCAGAGAAGTTCTCTTTTAGAGGCAAATAGAAATTAAAAGAAATAGTTTGGAGAGTTTGATTGATTCAGAAAGTACTTCCACAATTCTGGAAATAATAGAGGCCATGGAAAAAATGAAAGACACACTATTGCTTCGGATGAAATGTTATCCAGTCTTTTTTTTTATTTTTTTTTTTGGAGACAGAGTCTCACTTTGTTGCTCAGGCTAGAGTGAGTGCCCTGGTGTCAGCCTAGCTCACAGCAACCTCAAACTCCTGGGCTCAAGCAATCCTGTTGCCTCAGCCCCCTGAGTAGCTGGGACTGGCATGCGCCAATATGCCTGGCTAATTTTTTCTATATATATATATTAGTTGGCTAATTAATTTATTTCTATTTATAGTAGAGATGGGGTCTCACTCTTGCTCAGGCTGGTTTCGAACTCCTGACCTTGAGTAATCCGACTGCCTCGGCCTCCCAGAGTGCTAGAATTACAGGTGTGAACCACCATGCCTGGCCTCACATATTTTTTATTGAGGTATAATTGGCATACAAAACGGTGCATATATTTACTTTATACAACTTGAAATTTCATAATTTATAATTATTTTAGTTATAGAACCCCCAACCCATCTCCACTCTCAACTGCAACCCCACTCCTGAATTATAAAGGATACATTTGATGGATAGATGGAAGAACTAGAGTCAGTGGATAGGAAATGGTTAAAACAAAATGCCTAGATTGTTGTAGAGATTAAAGATTCAAGAGGAGCTAGGTACCCAATGATTGGTAAAATCTGAATCAAACAAAACTCCTGGCTTGACTGCTGTGGAGAGTTTATTGGTCCCTGTGTCCTTGAGTGTGGCAGGGAGATCCCATGGAGCACTAGCCATAGCCATAGAGGGCCCCGTACACCCAGCAGGGTGTGGGAGCACAGAATGACTTCAGATTCTTGAGAAGGATCTTGGAGTAAGTATCTAAAAGACTGCCAGATACCAATGCTTTTTTTATGGTGAGTGAACACCTGTATGGATCAATTACTAAACACGATATGGTATTTAGAATGTTTTGGCAAATGTTGTTCAGGAGAGTTGGAAACACTGAAGATCATATGAATGTTCCCCTCTCCTGACTATGTGGCACTATAGATTTGCCCTGTAACTTATACCAAGTCCAGGAAAAATGTTTGTGGCCTAATGAAAATAAAGCCTTTTAATAGATATTAAGTTGAATTACATGAAGAAAAATTTCAAAGTCATATTTATTATAAAACTGAATTTGTGGTCTGTTAGTCATGACAGTGTTTATATAGTCCAGGAACTGGAAAAAATTTGGAAATGGAGAATTAAGATTTTTGTTCAGTTTGTTCACATAGTCACTGAGGAAAAGCATGCAACCCAATCAGAATTTGCTTCAAGTTCTCAATCAGAGGATGGAAAACTCTGAACAAATGTTTCCAAGTCATGGAAGAAAGAATTTTAAGGCAGGGAGAGCAGAAAGTTATGCTTTAATCAACATACTTAAATTTTATTTCCACTTTTATTGTGTACCTTCTGGCATCGTGGCACTCTGGAAAGAACCTGGGTTGTGGTTTGGGTCTGAATACCTGTTATGTTCCTAATGGGCCATTTGATTTTAGGCTATACGATTATATATATTTCAGGATCGGTTTCAGGATTAAATGAGATAACATATTGTCTTGGTATGAGTTTTTAAAAAGCAGAGCCTGAAT